CTGCAGACCGTTTACATGCAGAAAAAGCTTCATAACACGCAAGGGGACGGGTAATAACCGGAAAAGCATGACATGGGAACTTTTAATATAAAGAATTACCCTTTCACCCGTCTGTTTTTATTTTGTGATGTTTGCTGAGTTTCTGACTGATTAAAGGATCTGTTTGTGTTCCAGCGGACATGTCTCAGGACGGAGGGAACACCAACCTGAAGAAGAAGGCGGTGTTTGTTCCCTACAGAGACTCCGTGCTCACCTGGCTGCTCAAAGACAGCCTGGGCGGAAACTCCAAAACCATCATGATCGCCAGTGAGACAAAATCATTTAATAACACACTGTGGCGGCTCAATTCCCTGTTCAGTTTGAGTCGCAGAGAGGCTAAGCTTGGCTTTATACTGCGACGCGTTTTCAATGAGAAAGTACATACTGAAGTAAGATAGGTTGAAGATATATATATTTGTTGTATAATATCTTTATTAAATGTTTCAAATACAGTCTCCGGCAGTGGCTCAGTCAGTAGGGGCTTGGATTGGGAGCTGTAGGGTGGCCGGTTCAAGTCCCCGACCAGACCTAAAATATGGAGTGTGGACTGCTCCTCGGAGAGGTCCCAGTTCACCTCCTGCCCTGCCGTGGTGCCCTTGAGCAAGGCACCGGACATCCCCCTTCCCCCCCTCACTCCCATTGCTCCCCGGGCGCTGTACAATAGCTGCCCACTAGTACTAGACTCCTGGTACTGGGATGGGTTCAAAGCAGAGAACACATTTCACTGTGTGTGCTGTGTGCTCTGCATGTGTGACCATTAAAGAGGGTCTCATCCCTCCCAATTCTATTCTACAACACAAAACAGAACAGCTCAGACATGACATGACAAGTAAGGTACGTAGATAAGAATAAGAAATAAAAAAACACTGCACAATGTAGGGATCCCCAACCTCCACCATTCTCTATCCGGGGGATAGAGGCAACAACAAAATTAAGTTAGATAGTAATAATTATCAAAAATAAATAGACAAATACAGATGACAGGGTTACAGGAAAACACAAAAACAGTCAAATCCAAAGTGCATTATGGAGCGCTAGGCTGAAGGAGGAAACCCTCGTAATATAGAAGATGACAGTGTTGGTCCAATATAGTCCAAGTAAGGGAGCCAAACTCTCTGGGAAGCGTCCAAGGTAGAAGATATCTAATAAACAACATCAAAACACACAATAACTTAGATGGACAAAAACGGTCAACAGAAAAAAAAATCGGCACAAGCTCCCCCTCTGTCATCTGCACCCGACATGAAACAGGTGACCTAAATACACAAACCACACCCATGTGACGATTACCAGAAGTGCTCAACAAATACAAATAAAAGTGACGTAAACAAATAATAATAATACAAATAATAAACTCATGCTAAGTAGCATTTTGGCTCCTACACACACAAACACACGAATGATCTGATGTAACTTTAAATGTCTTTTTGCAGACGTTTCCCCCGCCGATGTGAACTACGGAGAGACGCTGAGCACGTTACGCTACGCTAACCGAGCCAAGAACATCATCAACAAACCCACCATCAACGAGGACTGCAACGTCCGGCTGATCCGAGAACTGCGAAATGAGATCGCCCGCCTGAAGGCTCTGCTGGTTCAGGGAAACCAGGTAAACAAACACTGACAGATACACACACACACTGGACCTGTTTCTGACTGCAGGGAGGTTCGCTCAGGCGTATGCACAGGTTTTGTAATGGTTAAACAAAGGAAAGACAGTAAACTAAAAGAAGCTCAAGTTTCATGTGTGTGTGTGTGTGTGTGTGTGTGTGTGTGTGTGTGTGTGTGTGTGTGTGTGGTCACAGGCTCCTCCAACAGCGCAACACAATAAAACACATAAAATAGTACAAGTAAATAAAATTGAATATGATAGAAACAGAATATGGTAGAAGCTGTGCAGATGAAGCTGGACAGCTGGTCCACAGAAAAAAAATCAATGCTTTGTCAATTTATTGTTATTTATAAAAGCATTTTGTATTCTGAAAATGTTATATACAGCTTATTAAATGTATATATATATTCCTTTTTTCTCAGTTTCATCTCACATTAAACTGGTTATTTTTGGCCTGTTAAGGACTTTTGACTCTTGAGAAAATAGGATGGACATGTTTTAAAATGTTCTAACTTTTTCTTTACCCAATTATTATTCAAACAAATAATCGGCACAGATGAATCGATAATGGAAATAATTACCCTTCGGAGCTTTAGTAGAGGGAAAGTGACGATTCATTAAAAACAGCTCATGTCATTTTTCAGAAAGTTTGATTTGGTTTTATTTTGAATTTGCTCTGAACTTTTTCATAATGTTATGTTTTGTCTGAAATATGCTCCTAGTTTGAACAGTTATCATTATATGTAGTGTTTTTAACTGTGTGTGTCTGTGCGTCAGATTGCTCTCCTGGACTCGCCCACTGCTCTCAGCATGGAGGAGAAACTGCACCAGAATGAAGCCAGAGTGAGTCTTACCTTTCACATCAATGTTCACAATCTTTTTCAAGTTTTAAGTGTGATGACTCGTGTACTAAACTAGATAACTATTTAACATTCATGTGAACTGGAAATGTGTATTTTTGTATGTGTGGATCTTTGCTCTTCTGAGGAGTTTCACACCTGTTACCCAGTGGTTTCTGTTCAGTTGTTATTGGTTTATTGTTTGTGTGTGCAGGTGTTGGAGCTGACTAAAGAGTGGACCAACAAGTGGAACGAGACGCAGAACATTCTCAAGGTGAGTTTGTTCATCACTCATGTTTCTCATGCTCGCTGTGTGGACTGTCGCATTGCAACATGTTTAAATGACCTCTGCTGATGTTTGCTTGATGAGAAAAAGAACCTGGTTGTACTTTGCACTTCATATTATTTATATATTCAATTCCAATTTTTATTTTGTATTTTGTCACCTAAAAGGATTTTTCTTTCACCAAAAATCTCTCTTTTGTGAAAAACTTTGATTGTTTTGTGAAATTATAGCTGAGGTTTTACTATGTTGTCACCCTTGTGTTCAAACCTGCCTCATGGACACTGCACATTTCAGGAGTTCAAGTCTCAAAATCAAATGCCTTTCATCAACGCACATTATTTGCAAAATAGGAATATCATTTTTGCACATTTTACATTATTTTGTCAATATTTTTGCACATTCTATCCTTGTTATATTATTGTTCATTTTATATGTAATTTATTGTTTATTTTTATTTCAATTTTAAATGGATGATTCTCTTGGAGTACTTGTTTCTTTTTCCTTGAGGCTAACTCCTTGTATGTTTAAAGCTACTTGACGTTGTGTGTGATGTGTTGTGTCCAGGAGGAGACTCTGGCTCTGAGGAAGGAGGGCATCGGCGTGGTGCTGGACTCGGAGCTGCCTCACCTCATCGGCATCGACGACGACCTCCTCAGCACCGGCATCATCCTGTACCATCTGAAGGTCAGAAATCACTTGGTGCACAGATGCCCAAATGATCTATAAGTCTATATCTATAAGTCTGTCATCAAGTTTTCCAACTTGGAAATAATGCTAACAAGAAAAAACATCCTTGAACATTTTCACTTAATTTTTGTTTAGTTATCAAAAATGTTGCATCATAAATGGACTCCAAAATGAATTTAGCTTAGCAATATGTATCTGTCGTAAGGTGTGCATTAATTACTTTGAATTTCCTTCTTCTTCCTCAGGAGGGACAGACATATGTGGGCAGAGAAGACGCGTCCAAGGAGCAGGA